GAGTAAAAATATAGTCAGCTTGTTATGGACCATGTCATCAATGAGTGCTTCCTTAATTCTGATATTCCTTAATTTGAGGGATGTTAAATAGAAGTTTTAGTGAATGTAATTCATCTTAGAATGTCAAAAATACAGTGCAAACAAGTAAAAAGCAAATTACTTAAATATTATAGTTATTTTTAAATTTACTTTAAAACATCAGTCAGAAATAAAACAATGTGCATTTTCAATCTTTGAATTTTAATCTAATTTTTATAAGCACATCTTTTTTATTGCATAGCTGCAAATTTCTACCCAATCACTGTTCCAATCAAGCCATCAGCAAGACATTTTTCAAATTATTGGCCTGTAGTGTAAGTTACATTCACATTATAACCAAGAAGCCACTTGTACAAACAAAGTACAGCTTTGCCAGTTGTGTAAACATAGATTGTTGTACTGATGAAATGTGTCGCAGGGAATAAAAAGCAAAGATCTGTGACAACTTCTTGTGCCTGAGTAGGTGAGAGAGAGAAAAAGAGAGAAGCTGCTGGTTCAGGATATAGTTACCCCAGTTTTCTTCATCTATTATCAATTATGAATCATTTTGAGGGTGGGAAAATCCTTAGCAGCTGAGAAATTATGATATTTTTTACTTATTCAATATATGCATATAAAATAGGGTAAAAAAGATTAAATTTAAGAGAAACATTTTGGAAAGTGAGAAAAGGTGAGAGTTCATACTTTTCTGGTTCTTATATACTTTTATTTTACAATTATATAGGAATAGAAAATGTTAAAAATTCATTTTTTTTATCTTTAAGTGATGTATTACAAAAATAGGTGTACCTCACTGTGAAACTTGTCTTGCAGAGTATCATTATTGTATTGTCACTTTTAGTTTTACTCCATAGCTATTGCAAACTTGTGGCCTTGTACCAGACTAAGTTTAATAAATGCCTTTCTCTCTATTGTTTTTTTTTTTTTTTTTAATGTATAAAAATCTTTTGGAAATAATGTTTTATTTTTTTTTTTTTCCTCTTTAAACAAATGTATATACAAGAGAGTATTTAAAATTTCTCAGCCCAACCCACTTCCCAAAATTTATTTTTATTTTCACAAACAGATAAATTCCAGTAACTGTTTGGTTGCTGTTATTACTAAAATCTCTTGATTACACATACACTCCTCCCATTGTAAGATAAATGTTAAAATACTAACTGGTTTCTTGTTAGTCTAAAATTTTGAAAACATTGTCATTTAAGCACAATTTTAGGATTAGTTTCAATTTTTACTCTTTATCCATATTTTTAATCCTGAAGCCTATTAATCAGTATAAATTGTTAGGGACTTTTTTGAAGAAGGAGCTGCTTTCTGCAGAAAACATATTAAAGCTACCGATCTACTGAAGTAATTTTTAAAAGAAACTTTTTATTAAAATTTATTGCTTTATAATAAAGTTTTATACATGAATGATGTAGTTCTAAAACAATAATGAAGCTATGAACATATCCCAAGAATGAAGAGTAAGAAATTTGAATCTTAATGGATTAAGACCTTCTGCATCAAATGGTTAAGGCTGGGTCCTGTTACATGAGTCACTATTCTGTTGTTGCATGCTCTCCATTAGTCATAGGCCTGACAGACCTGTTACAATGGGAATACTTGTCAGTTTATACTGCCTACAGCTATGTATTGTTTAGGCCATCTACAAAAGAGACACTATTCTAAATACAATTTTTTATCTTATTTTTATGCATTGTTTAATTTTGTGTTAGTAGTAGTTTACAAATTTTCTTGACAACTATTTTATTGGGGAAAGACTTTCTAAAGTATGCCATTAAATTATTCTTTAAGTTATAGAGTAAACAGTAAACTCAACAAAAGATATATTTGCAAATGTTGATAAATAACTAGTCATCAAACTTTGTGACAAGTTTTAAGCAGCTTATTTTTTTTAACTGCTAGTGTAGCTTAAACCCAACTTCAATCTTTGACAATAATTATGAATGCATTAAGAGAAAGAAAAATATTTTAAACTCCCATTTTAGCTATTCACTTATATTTGCAAGTTTCACAACATTATCAAAGTACATGGCATGAGTTACTGGCTAAATGTTGACTAAGATACACTATGTTTATGATATTTATAATCCTCACCATTTACTACTTTAATCATAAATCTGGCTAAGTCAAAAATAAAATGCTTAATTTTGTTAGATTTGGAAATTCTATTAGTAATTTTGTTTTTACTAAAATTTATTTAAATATTATTTTTCCATATATTACTAAAATGTATATAAAATGTGTTACTTTTTTTTAAAACTGAAAAGATAAAGATTGGAATTTTTCATGGACATTTTAATATATTAAAATATGAATTTAAAAAAGATTAACAAATAATTGTGAAATAAACTAATGACTTCCAAAAAAATTAGCACGGAGAAACTTTGTACAGGTGTAAGTAAAATGCAGGTAGAAATTCTGTGCAGTCATACAGATTTTAATTAAAATATTTCAACATTCACTGGTGTAAACAGTGTCATACTTATTTCCCCACTTAAAAGCTGACTCAGGAAAATAGTTTTTAGCTAAATCTTTTCTTTTCACTCTTGCAAAAAACCGTATTTCCAAAGAGAAGCAATGGCTTCTAATTGAGCATTTCTTCCATGTTTTTAAAAAATCCAGATGTAAATATTTACATTAAGTACCAATTAGATATTTAAGCAGCTGTTACAATTATCTTTAAAAAATTTCACTATAAATTTTATTATTCTTAATATAATTACATTTTAAACTTTTGTTTTTTAATACATTTAGAATTTAAACTGAGACATTGAAGCAGGTTAGCTTGTGTGTAGTCCACTTTTTAAAAATCACTTTATGCTTAAAAATGCATTAGCATATTGATCTATATATTTCTAGTTGTATTTATCAATTTTCCTTAAGTGAATAATGGTATTTTTTACGCAAATACATTGAGTATGCATATAAGATGGTAGCGACACAATGTATTGCTAAAATAAAAATAAGATACATTTATGACCAAAACTAAAGATAAACTAATTTCAAAACTTAATAAATGTAAGTTATGATTTTAAATCAAATTTCAATTTGAAAAAAAAATGTTAAGTGATATTTTTAAAAGGATGTTATTGTTATGTTATTATTTTAAAAATATTCAGGTTATTTAAATTTTGTACTGAAAAGTTCTCAAAGAAAAAAAACACATGTATTGTATTGTAAATTATTGTTTCATTTTTCAATTACAAAAACTCAAATGTATTTATTACTACTTTCAGTGCCTTCTTTTTTCAAAATTCAAGAATAATTAAAAATTGAAAACTCCAAAAGATAAATCTGGACCTGTTTTTTTGTTCAATATGCAGCGTTAAAAAATTCCACGTTTAATCTAATTATTTATTTTCGTTTGAAACATATCAACGTGTTGGTGTTCACGATTCATCTCTTTAAAAATGAGGGGCTAAGGAACATAGCAAATTTCAGTTCATTTCTTTTCTATTCAACAACAGTAACACTATGGCCGCAGAAAAAAAGTAAAATAATTAACCATAATGATAATAAGAACTTTTTTGTGTGTATATTTTGTTTATTTAATCTTGTTGACCAACTTTACTAGTATGATTTTACTTTAGTCTTCAGCTTTGTCGTGGAATTCAGGAAACCAATGTGATTACATTTATTTGTTAATGTTGAACAGACCAACTTGACAGCTCATCGCCAACGTTTCAGAGATTTAGGTGGTCTTTCCAGTGTTCAAATTTCAGCGAATTTCCTAGAGTTAAATTTAGTTCGTGGTTCAGCAATATAATGAAAAAGTCCATTAAGTTTCAATTACAACGAAAGCCAATGTTTTTTTGTTTTTTTTAATTTCCCAATGGTGCTTGCTTAGTTTCCTGACGGACTTTATTTTATTATCATCTGTCTGTAAATAATACGCGCGCTCATAAACACACACACACACACACACGTTGCGTGTTAACACTGAACTGTTCGCATTTCCTCGCAAATGAAACGTGTATGTGTGTATTGTAACACTGTAGTGTACAGTGTAACACATTCCTGCATCGAGTAAATAAATTTAACCTCCTCTCTTTTTCTTTCTCTCTCTCTCTCTCTGTCTAATATCCGGAAATCAAGTGACGTGATTTTTTCCTCACCAAAATATCGGAGGCTAGGCAAAATTGCCAAACACTCGATTTCTTGCCTTTTTAGTTTTTAATAGATTAATTTCGTAACTTAATGTTATTCAATATTGTTAATATTAGCGAAGTCGATTTTGTGTATGTGAAATGGAGAATATCAATCGAACCAAAACTAAAAAATAAAAATATTGAGAAATAAACCGTAAAGCTAAAGCTGATGAAAAAAAAACTGTACAGAAGAAATTGGTTTTAAAGACCTCCGCCTCCAAATGTTGCTATTCTCGGATTATGACTTTCACTGCTTTTTTGGTGTTAAAAAAAAAAAGCTAAAATAAATTTATTTGCGGTTCCGCGATATTGTTTTAGATTCTTGCCTCACCCCTCACCCCCCCCCAAAAAAAACTTTTACAAAATTTGCCCATTCTAGTAAAAGACAAATTCTAAAACTCTCTTTCTCGTCATCTCTTTTTTTTCTTTTCTTTTCTTTCTAATATGAATCTACGGGACATTCAAACCAGGAAAGTAACGCTTGTTGCAAAAAAAAAAAAAAGGACGTCGGGGGGAACTATTCGAAGTTTTCATGTAGGCATCATCATTTTTTGTTGTAAGTACACAACACGGGCATGCTGAGATTTGTTTTATCAAGCCGCCGGCGTTGGAAGACGGGCGAAAAGGGAAAAACAGAAAATTAGCGTGTAGCCTTTTTAAGGGAGGTTAGGAATAGTTGATCATCATCATCATGATGACTTCTCACAAGTATCGCACACGCAATGTAAAAGTGTAGCAAACTTGCATACACACACAAAGTCGAAGCGGCGCCACCTTTGATGTTCATCACCGGGCAACCCTCATCCAATGACTATGTCCGATAGCCCGTCTGACGTCATAAGGGCACGTTCAACAACTCAGCCGCTGGCTTTACCATCTGACCAATCATCACCCTGCAAGCTGACTGCTCATCCTTCTGATTGGTGCTTGATTCACCAACCTCTGCCGTCATCGCCTCGTCTATTGAACGTAACGACGGGGTATTTCCGTACGACGACAACGGCGGTTTCTGTACCTCCGCCACCCTCCTCTGTTACCGCGCTTGACTCTGCTCGAGTTCTGTAGCCAGCGAGCCGATACGGAGAAAAAGCGAGCCAGTCGCCGCTCGCTTGCCAGTTCGTTATTCCGACACTTGGATTGCCAGCTCTTGTAGCAACAATAATACCTTTAAAAAAAAAAAAAGGGCTGAAGTGTCAGTAGATTGTGGTACACTCACTCTTTGCACTCATTTGCTTTCTTCCTTCCTTTTCTCTCTTCTCTTGTTTGTAATGTATGGATTATACTTTTTACGACGATATGTGGATATTGGCAAATGATGCCCCAACATTAGACTAGAGTTAGTACCAAGCAGCAGCACGTGTTTCCAGTTTCTCTCATCTTCTGAAGTCCAAGTAGGTGACGCTTTATTTTAATTTTATTTATTGTACCTCTTTACTTGCCGCTGAATTTTAGAAAGAAATTTAAACGTTTTTAACGATATTTCATTTTTTTTTTTTTTTTTAACAACCAGGAAGCACTAAACCAGAATTTCTTTCTCTCCAAATAAGTAGCATGTTTGTAGAGATTACGATTTTTTCGCTGTTTTTTGTTTATTTTTTTTTTTTTAAATAAGGTCTAAAAAAGTAAAAAAAAAAAAAAGTGCTTCTCTGTGATTGGAACTGAAAAAGTAAAGAAGAAAGAAGGAACTTTATTGATTTCTATCTTTTATTTAGTTTTGCCTGTTTTATTTTTGTTTTAAGGCTTTGGCTGGGGACTAAATGTCCGTCAGCTGTATATTTCACTCTCAGATCATTTATTTATTTTTATTACCATAACAGTTTTTTTAGTCTTTATCAGATGTTTTTCGTTCGTTAGGTTCAATATTTAAAGAAAAACCTTCCTTTGATATTTGTCTTTTTTCTCCTCTCTCCTGTATTTATTTTATTTTTTTACCTATGTAAATTTCAGTTTCGTGTGATTTAATAATTCTGCAGTTTTGTTCATGTTTGTTTACTTCTAAAAAAGAAGCATCATTCTCTTCCAACTCAATTGATTGTTGTGCATTAAAAATTTCGTCTCACAACTCGTTGATTCTAACAAAGTTTTCTGAACTTTTGGCAAAATAATGTTAAAAAACGGTGACAATAATAAATTGGTTAGTTCAAGTTGGCTTAAAGCAACTTCTTTTTCTTTTTTTTCTTTTTTCAATTTTAAATTAATAAATGAAAACATTTCATATTTTTACTAAAGCATTTTGTAGTCCTACCCAAGCCATAATTAATAATAACGAGCTTATCAGTCGGTCCTGCGGGAACTAACTTAAAACAAGGTAAATAAATATTTGAAATGTCATTCTGCTCTTGTTTAGTTTTGGTTTGGGGATTCTTTGATTTTTTGATCAATGTATGTCATATTTTTCCCGTAGTTTTGAGATCAGATTCAGTGTACTTCCTTTTTTTCTTCTTTTTTTTTTTTTGTGGATCTATTCGCGTGCACTCATCGCGTGCCGAAATATTGTTCTAGAGAGTTTGTATTATTATTAGATCTCTACAAAATTAAAGGGGTTGTCTCACAATTTGATGACAACTAGCAACAGGGGCGCACTTTCAGACTGCAGCCTGTCAACCACCCCTTCCAACACTTCGTCTAAATGTTTTTAAGTACGGCTTTTAATCTGATGGTCACACGGACCGCCCTTTTATTGTTCTCGAATAATGCTAATAATCACCTTGTTTCCTCTTTTTATCCCTCATTCATTCAAGTCTTTCGCTGTCACCTAAGTTTTATCTTAATGCTTCCTTAGAAATTGAAAAGTCACCAATGACAATTCTTTAATACTATCATTAGTTAGTACATGAACGTGCATGAGAAAACGCAAGGAAAAATTATGTTTGGGAAATACTTTTAATTTTATTTTCAAGATGAGGGACTTATTGTGATTTTGCATCTTAACTGGTATCGACACTTTTTTATCATCAGAATAATGCTATGTGCGTGTGTGTGAAGAGAGCGTAAGTTTTGGGCTTTGCAAACTTTCTTCGGTGTGTTTAGAAGATGCTGTGTGCTGCAGAAGGAAACATTTGGTACTGATCGCAATGATCGTTGGTCGTAGTAGTAGGAGTGCCCCTTTAATAAAAATCCCCGTATTGCCGCTGCCAGCCAAGGTCGGTCTTTTCTCTCTCTCTCTCTCTCTCTCTCTCTCTCTCTCAAAATACGTAGAAGAGTATATGTTACTTTTATATTATTTTTTTTCTTTCACATAGCTTACTTCATTATGATCCTAGTAAAAATGCCGAGTGGTACTTTGATAAAAAAAAAAGTTTAGAAGTTGAACAATATCATGTTGGAAAAACACGCATAGTCAAGCCATTTTTGTGTCAGAATGTCATGTAAAAAGCTTTTAGTTTTACTTTTATTTCTCTTAGCGTAATTAAAGTTGAAAATTTAAGTTTTACTAATGATGAGCAAACTAACAATACTTTTTTCTTTTCGATTACGGAAATTGATCTGCTGTTACTGTTAAAAAATGATTTTACATGACATCTTTTTTTGAATGTTAAAAAAATAATAGATAAGACTACTTAATGCTTGCCCGAGTTTTCTTGTCGCATTTCAGATGGAAACTGCGATTCATTTCGTTTGTTTTTATAGTCCACTGCTACTCATCAATATCGAATTGTTTTCATGTCTCGACTTTATGGTGTTGAATAAACGCTTCTAGTAATTTTATTAAAGGTGGTTAGTTTTCAAAGTTTTTTCTGATTTACGCAACTTGAAATGTAAGTGTGCAATGCCTTATGAAATGAAAAACTAAAAATATTTTTTGAAAAAATATTTTGCATGATTATTTTTATCAAAACAAAATATTCAAATGTTTTTTTAAATAATTAACAATAATTAACATGATAAATAAACGTACATAAGAAAAAAAATTTGGTAGGTCAAAGAAAGAAAAAGTAAAAACTAAAAAGTGTGTTACTGTTGGAGTGTTACTGCTAGAAATCTTTATTTTACTTGTTGACACAGAAATTGGATCAATATTTTCATTTCGTCGTAGAATTAAGCTGTATAATTAAAAAAGTAAATAATTTGAATTTATCTACTAGTTTTAGATTATTCACTATTTTTGATTATTAAATTTCTTAAATAAATTTTAAATAAACTTGAAATACAAAGTTAATTTTTAAAACTTTTTTTTTCGCGGTATGCTTGGCTACTTTTTAGTTTAAATTTTGCCAATATTTGCTTAACAGTAATAAGTTCAAGAAAATATTTGTAAAAAAAATAAAAAGTGAAATCATAAGAGTAGATTCTAGAAAATACTCGCAAAACAGCCTGAAAATATTTTAATTTTCTTAATCTTTCCATTGTAGAATGCATCTCTGGAAATATTTTATCCGGCTGTCTGTAAATTTAGTGCAGTTTTTACCGAAAAACCTAAACAAACACATCACTGTCACTAAAGAATTGAAATTTGATAAGTTCAGTTTGATCTTTTAAACCAGAACCCACAGAATAATTTTTGTTGATAGAAACACATGGAATTTTAGAGTCTGCGTTTTCATTTCTAAGGCCTTCAGTAGCCAATATGTGTCTCCTAAAAATGTGAGTCAGAGATCTTAAAAATGCAATATGTCAACTAAACTAGAGAGCCAATGGCCTAGGTGCATTGATTATTATTCCACAGCTCTTATTCTGTTCATATCTTAAAATGGCCAATATTTCAGCCTACTTTTCTCATGAATCATATTTGTTGACTGAAAAGATTTTGTTTAGCTTTCTCTAACATTGATTTTTAAATGGTGATAATGAGGATAAAGTTACGGAATAGTTTGCATTGAAACTTTCTTTTCTTTTTCTTTTTCCTTAAAACTTGTATTTGTGATTAAGTCCACTCTCAGACGAGAGCCACCACAGTCATTTGTGGCAATGAATATAAATTTTCTGGACATTGTCATTTATTCATCTACTTTGAATATGTTACTTTAGTTATAAAAAGCATTTGCTCAAAATAACATTTTCAAGATTCTATAATCTATTTCTACATAACTTTGATCTCATGTTCAAAGCTTGCTTGCTATAAAACTAGCTTACTTTTTACTATTGCATTTGAAGTTATTTTTTATTACTTTTACTTTTTATTAGTATTGCTTTTTATATTTCTATTTGCATAAAAAAAAATACTTGCTATTTTACGCTAGTGATTTGAAATGGTAGTAGCACTAAGTTTGGCAGATTTTTGAGCGATGACTTACTAAAGGGCTGAATTTCATCTTCTGGTGGCTGAAATGAAAAGCAAATTGTGACTCTTCAAATAGGATATGAGCTCGAATACCATTCAGATATTGTTTTGTTTCGTATTATTTAATAATTGTATATTGTACTGGCATTCTATTGTATGAATGTAGTCATAAATTAGCCCTCTGCCAGGTCAACAAGCTCATAGATAGGGTAGATAATGAAAATAATTGCTATAAATTATTGAGATGACAAATGTATTCTAATTTGTTCTCGATCTGCTAAATTATGTTTTCAACATTTTTAGCCCTTATAGTTTAGTAAAATAAGAATAAAATTAAGAAATAAATAGATAGGCTTAACTCAAACTGTAATGTTAATTTCTGACTAACATTATTTTTTAAACTTCTCCACTCTTTCTGTGAATTTCCCTCAAAAAATATCCATAGAAAATCTCTATTAATAATTTTGTCACAATGTTATAACGGTTTTTTATCTATAGAATTCTATGATAAACCCCAGATCAAGAAGCTTTTATTTGAGGAAAATTTGTAATTTTTAAGATTTAAATTAATCACTTACATTAGTGTGATTCAAAATTAGTAAATGTTCAGTAATTTTGCCCACAAGAGCATGCTGAATTACCTTTATTGGATAAAACTTGTAAAGTAGCTTAATTAAAAAAAAAAAAAAAAATCCTATGAGAATGAACTATAATTCCTTTGGGCTGCCCACCTTCATCACCTTTCTAATGGGTTTATGCCTATAATTTATCTTATTTAGCATTAATATTTCTTTCTCTTTACCTTTCCCGTATCCCTTGCTTATATGGGGATAACTTATTAGCAATGCCCTCATTTTCTCCAGCTGCTCTCTCAGCACTCTGGTACTATCACCACCACCAACAGTCATCATCATTTCCATCCCTTTGATCTAAGTTGTTCTATCTTGTGATGGGGGGGGGGAATGTATGTCAGGCTTGTGTAGCAGTGGGTTGAGATAGATATCTGTCTAGGCTTTCTACCTGTGGAAAACCAGTTAAGTAGGTTTAATTTACTTTTTTATCATTTATTTATATATTTATTTTCCTGTTATATATCAATCTTCCTTGCAGTGTCATCTTACTGCTTTTACTAGGTCTGCATAATTGTCTTGGAGTAGAAAAGAATTTTGT